CTCTGTACACCACTGCATCACTATAAATGATGCTTTATTATAGTTAGGAACTTGCTTTGTGCAGGCAAGTGAAAGAGTCTCAGAAAATTCAATCACTTTCATTGCACACATCTAAGTCTGAATCTAGGACTCTTAAAAACTATGAGAACTATCTGAAATGGCAATGAATCAGTGGGTTTTTTTTTTTATATCACAGCCTTAGGCAAGTGTAATAATTTAGTCATAAGTGAGACTAAAAAGGCATCAGAGAACCTGCACCCATTTCCACTTGTGCATTTTCTACAAAGGGTAGGCAATGAATTCCTAAGAGAGCTCACTATTAACTAAGCAAATCCATCTGATGGTAGTACTGACAGAAAGAACTGCTAGTCGCAAGGGGAAAATAACTTCATGCTTCCCAGGTCAGAATCAAGACAAGCGAGACCCAGGAACTAACAATAACAGAGCATTACCCCAGTCAAGCACTGAACCTATCAATACCACAGCATTACCCCAGTCAGGCACAGAAGCTATCAATATCACAGTGTCACCCCAGTCAAGCACTGAACCTATCAATACTACAGCATCACCCCAGCCAGGCACTGAACCTATCAATACCACAGCGTCGCCCCAGTAAAACACTGGACCTATCAATATCACAGCGTTACCCCAGCCAGGCACTGAACCTATCAATACCACAGCATCACCCCAGTCAAGCACAGAAGCTATCGATACCACAGCATCACCCCAGTCAAGCACTGAACCTATCAATACCACAGCATCGCCCCAGTCAAGCACTGAACCTATCAATACCACAGCGTCATCCCAGTCAAGCACAGAAGCTATCGATACCACAGCATCACCCCAGCCAGGCACTGACTATTTGGAAATGCAGAGAAAACAGGCTGAAAGCTTTCAGGAAAGATCTGTTAAGGACAGGCTCAGTGGCTCGCAAATATCATCTCAGACAGGAAAGGGCCACAGGATTTTTTGTGACGTAACAGGAGAAGTAATGTGAACCAGCAATATTCCTACCCCGTGGATCCCACTTATGGTCTACGTGCGTCCATACCCTGAGGACGCGTGGGCTACTGGTAGAAGGAGGCTCTCTCTCAGAGCCGCGGCTGCCGCTTCTCTGTCTGCTAAGAGGAATCTCAATAGGCGTATCTAGCACCCGCCCAGGCTTTCCTTCTGCCGATCAACAGATAACAGCAGTCGCTTCAGATTAGTAATGGATGTCCACCTCATCTGGTACAGATTACGGAATTATTCAGTTTCACAAAAATTCACGCCTTCGGAGTGATGGGCTTCAGAAGAAATCCAAATTCTTATACACACACACACACACACACACACACACACACACACACACACACACACACACCATGCAAAACCCTCGCCAACAAGATCCTTTACAGATTTGAGCTAACACAGAAAATTTACAGGCATCATAATCCCTTGCTTAATCTTAATTCCGAAACAATCGCTAACAAATGATGCAGCTGCAAATCCTTACTACGCTACCACATAATCTCCTTTTGAACAAGCCTGCTGCTCTTCAGTTCAGCCCTGAGGCGTTAGTGACTCACATCCGAACCTCTCGGTGAGACGGGAGGCACCAGGAGAGTCACGCTGTCTTACATCGGTGTGGAAGTCATGCCGTTGTCCAAATTCAAATATTCTGTCACAGAGGCTTTAAGCTGTGACCAAAAAAATCTCAAGTATAACGTCAAATTATTGGAAGAGCATCCATCAAAATATTAAGAGTTAAGTATCTGTGGATAAAGGTTTTGTATGTCTTTGCCTTCTTTTTGCTTTGGTGATTTTCTGTTTTCATGAATGGAAAGTACTTGTAAAACTAGAAATTACATTTTAAAAAGCTACCAGATAACTAATTAACAGCCTCAACAACAATGACTACTACTGGCTAGCGCTCTCGGTGATAGGGTGGCAAAGGTTGAAAGCCTGTAATTCCTGGGAGAGAGAGGCTATAACTGGAGGCTGCTCTCTGTGAAGACACAGCCCTGCAGCTTGGCTGAGTTTGTGTGCATCAGGGTCCTCAACGGGAGAGCGACCTGCAGGTCAGTGCCCATCACAAGGCGACGACCGTCCACACTGTTCAGAAACCGTATGCCATCTGCAGAGCAGGTGACGCCTTCCTGAATTCTCTTCAGAAAACAAATCTCTCCCATTCTAGGGCTTTTAAAAAACTAAAATCAAATCACATAATCTACCACAAGAACACTGTGAATTTACTTAATTAATCTAATAACTACTTCCTCAGAAACACTCAAAACGCCTTTGTTTCTAGACTCGGTATAAAGAGACACGAAGCAGTTGTTAGTGTAGCGCCGTCCTTAATTTCCTTGACTAATTTTAGAAAAGGGATATTAAACACCTACTTGGGCTCAAAGTAAACAAAGGGAGTTATTCTTCAGACACGATGTTGTTGCCTTCGTTATGAAAACGCCAGCAGGTGTCCTTCCTGCAGGCTGAGAGCCAGAAGAACTGGGCTGGCTAGATAAACAGGATTAATTTTTCAAGGACAGTAGACTTTTTGGCTCCTAGGATGCACTGGGTTTTTATATTCCATCATTTATTTTGCTGTTTATGAAACACAAATATTTCCCATTTATCTAAGAGCAGAGGTTGGCTATCAGTCTGTGACTCAACCTCTGAAACAGCCCACGCGTGTCAGGTTAGGCTGCTCTCTCTTATCTGACTGTTCCGTGCTTCAGGAATAGAGCGTGAGAAAAAAAAAATCTGATTCTACCAAGAAAACTTTTATACATTCAATCACCAAAAGAAGAAAAGAAAAGGGGGGGAGGGGGGCAAAATTTGCTTTGTTCTGAATTAGATAATGCATCACAGGAAAAAAAAAGTTTAAATTTCTAAATCACCAGATTCGCTAAAACTGGGCTCTCAATTGTCCTCCCCAAGATGTAAGTTTCTTCTAGTATCTTTTCAAACAGTTTTATAAATATTTAAATTTATTAATGAATGATATACAGATGTTATTGTCAATGAAGAAACTTTGTGTGTACATTATTCAGCAACATTTTTTTTAAACATACCTCACGGTATCTTGTTTTGCTTTAAGAACCATATCATATCAGGATATAGGAGAATGCATGCACTTCAGGTTACTGGTTATGGTGGTTTGAATGAACTGGACTCATAGGCCCACAAGCAGTGGCATTATTAGGAAGTGTGGCCTTGTTGGAGGAAGCATGTCACTGGGGGTGGTGGGCTTTGAGGTTTCAGATGCTCAAGCCAGATCCAGCGGTTCACTCTCTCTTCTTTCTGCCTGCCCATCTGGATGGAGAACTGTCGGTTACCCCTCCAGCACCACGTCTGCCTGTGGGCTCCCTGCCATGCTTCCCGCCTTGACAATGAAGAGGCTCAACCCCTGAGCTGTAAGTCAGCCCCAGTTAAATGGTTTCCTTTGTAAGAGCTGCTGTGGTCGCGGTGTCTCTTCACAGTAATAGAAACCTAAGACACTGTGAAGGTAAAATTCTTAGAGAAAGTTCTGTGAAATATTAATATGAATCTAATCAACCTTTGAGTTAGAACTACCAACTTATAAGGCATGCAGAGTTTGAAAGAGTAAAGTCAACAAAACCTAGTCTAGGGAAAATTCTATGGAGGACAAGATAGGGTTTCCTTAAGAGGAAAAGAAAGCAGGGGAAGAGGTTAGGAATCAGATTAAAGATATCAGAATCAGATATGGCTTACAGAATAGCAAAGGGGAAAGGTTTGGGGGAATATTGAAAACCCGACTTTTCTAAAAGTCCTCTTTAGAATACGGATACGATGCCCTCCTGCCATTATAAAAAAAAAAAAAAATCTTCAGGTTGGGCAGGCAGCGTAGGTACAAAGGGGAAAGAAAGCGAGGCTTCCTTTCAGAGAATCACGCGTTAGCAGGGAAGGGACGAGGAATCTTCAGTGACAGGCCCAAGCCCAAGCTCCTCAAATCCCCGCCCGCCCCTCCCGCCAGTCCAGTGAGATAAAAAGTGGAGCCCATGGTAATGAGGGTTTCACGTGCAGGCAGTCAGTGGAATGAAATGTGCAACCCCTGGAACTCCACGGGAAAATCTCCTTCGTGAGTAACCCTAATAAAGCTTTAGGGGACTAATGAGGCTTTTAATGAGACCATCCGTCTCTCCTTAGTGCTAGCAATGCTGATCATTCAAAAAACTATAAAGGGATAGTCGTAAGATGGTATATTTTGTCTTGCATCCCCTCTGTCCTGCCCCGGTCAACTCCTCTCCTAAACCCAGTCACAAACTTTGCTGGATTTGAAAAGCAAATCGCCAACAGATCAAGTGTCTTTGTGAATCCTGGCACCTGCCTGAACTCCTGCCGTGCCACACAGCCTTGGGATGGCCTGCGCCACCAAATATTAAAAACTGGAAATACTTCTAAAAGCTTTTCCGAAAGATCGTGCCTACTTGCAGACTGACTGGCATCTCCGGAGGCACCGGGCACCATTTCCACAGCCTCGGTGTGAGTTCTGCCAGGCACACAAGAAGAACCGGCTGCACTAACTAACGCGTTCCTGGAAGTGCGGAGAATAAAGTGGAGGGGACTTTGGAGGATGCAGAGCAACAATGCTCCCTGCTCTAGTGATGCTGCTGCAGACTCATGCCCAGGGCTTGGTCTTATGTCTCAGCACAACAGCACAACCATGACACCCAGTTCTGTTCTCCAGTGCACTCAACAACTTATTTGTGTGTCTTTGCATTTCGCCCTCCTCTTATATTTATGTAACAAGAATCACAGTTGGTATATGGAGTCTACCGAGGACTGGGATTACTGAATGAGGAAAAGAGAAAGTCCTGGACCTCACCCAATAGAAGACTGAGCGCATCGGGGCCAATGTAACTGAAACAGAGTGTTTCTCTTATACAACTTTATCTTCATGGTGAATTAAAAAAGAAAATCTAAGTGTCAGACATAAAGTAAGATGCAAGGCTTCCTTCCTCCGAGAAGCAGAGGCTTAAGGAAAGAGCACAACCTACCTGAAGACTGCAAGAGTCAGTGACCAGAGCACGAGCGGCTTCCGCAGTTCGAACTTCGCTCTCTTGTTCATCAGATGCCGACCACCAAATATAAAGGCAGCATACAGCGCAGAAAACAGGAAAGATTTCTTCCTGTGAAGAAAGAAATGGACCAAGCCTTGTGAGACAGGTGACCTGAAGCCCCTTTTCACAACAGCTGCCCTGTCTGAGCTGGAGACATTGTCTGGGGTAGATGGCCCACTTTGCTGAAACATCAATCCACTTGGAGAAGTGTTCTGTTGGCAGCACCATCCTGCGGCTGCCAACCCGACACAGTGAGCATCATTCAGTGTAGACAGATGCTCTTTTCAGGCCCCACGATCAAAAATTTCAACATAGTGGTTCCCAGGTACAAAAGCGATCTTTTCACTAGGGGAACTAACTTTATCCTTTTTAGAGAAATTAATTTAAAACAGAACCTTGGTTTTGGTAGAACGCAAGCATTAATGTTCGATATTAATATATATATAAAGCTAAACTGTGAGATACATATATACATACAAACTGAATTTAATGTGTCTGATATAACCACTGAACACGTGGAGCAGCAGTGAAAGGGTTGAAGAGATAAAGTGGAAAGACACAGCATGGAAATCACAGTATGCTGAAGGACATAACACGCAAGACACTCCATCGATTATTTCCCTGACTGCTGGAACATTAGCATGGAGCCAAGAAACACTGGTGCTTGCACGCACGCCGAGTCCCACCTGATAAAGCTATGATCCCAGGAGTTGACCCATAAATAAACACCACGTACTAGTTCTAACACAACCGTGCCACCATGGCAAGCGCTTGTTGGGAGGCACAGTCCCGGCACAAAGCAGGTTCAGTGAGCATGTGTACTGAACGAGTGACTTCATGCTTTCCAAGTGTTTGAAGTGAAGAGAATGCTATGGGTCCTCCGCCACTACTGCAGGAATGGGCAGTTGAGGACACGGAAGCGTATAGGTTATGGCATGGTTTCTTTCTCCACCAAACTTTTTTCTTTTTTGCTTCAAAAGCAAAGCCCCCCCCCCCAAAGATAATTTTATGAAAAAAAAATATATAACTAGGCAATCTTTCAAGAGATACTTTCACCCATAAACACATACACACGAGTGTATTTTTGCTCTGGTGTCTGCCCAGGGTATGGTGTTAGAACACCCAGAATGAGAACCACTCTTTCTAGATTCATATGAAGTTAAGAAATAGAAAACCCGGAGCCCAGGCCTGAGCAATGACGAAAGAAAGAAAGAAAGAAAGAAAGAAAGAAAGAAAGAAAGAAAGAAAGAAAGAAAGAAAGAAAGGAAGGAAATCAAAACCCACTGTTAAAGCAGGTAGTGGTAGTGTCAAACAGTATAGTTCTTTTTTTTAAAAAATATTTATTTATTTATTTATTATGTATACAATATTCTGTCTGTGTGTATGCCTGCAGGCCAGAAGAGGGCACCAGACCTCATTACAGATGGTTGGGAGCCACCATGTGGTTGCTGGGAATTGAACTCAGGACCTCTGGAAGAGCAGGCAATGCTCTTAACCACTGAGCCATCTCTCCAGCCCCCAGTATAGTTCTTATTTATTCAGTGATTTCCCCTGGGCAGACAGCCCGCTGAAAGGCGGGAAAGGTCACTTAATCCCCTAATCACCTCACCTTGTGGTTTAAGAATCACTTCCATTTTAGAGAAACAAACAGAAAAGGGCTTAGAGGTGAAGTAGCCCTTAGGCTTCTATTCAGTAAAGTTTCAGGAGAAAGGGAGGTTGGTCCTAGCCTGTAAGGCTTTCTTTGGTGACCTCTGCAAAGGTAGCTAAGCAGAAAAGATCTTTACCCTGAAAAGCCCAAGGAACCCACCCCACACCATCAGGCTCCAAGGGCTGAACGTCCGAGGTCTGAGAAACATTCATTCACTCCTCTCCTTGTTTCTTAGAGAACGCTGAGAACATTCTCAAAGAAAACATCCCTGAAGACGGCTTCTCAGTTTTAAAATGATTTCTTTTCATTTTAGGTATAGGCATGTTCGTCTGCATATATGTATGCATACCTTGTGCATGCCTGGTGTCTGAGGAGACCAGAAGAGGGCGTTAGATCCCCACAAACTGGGGTTACATAGGGTTGTGAGCAGCCATGTAGGAAGAGAGAAATGAACCTGGTCCTTGTGTAAGAACAAGTGCTCTTGGGTTGGAGAGATGGCTCAGAGCTGAAGAGCATTGCCTGCTCTACCAAAGGTCCTGAGTTCAATGCCCAGCAACCACATGGTGGCTCACAACCCTCTGTAATAGGGTTTGGTGCCCTCTTCTGGCCTGCAGGAATACACACAGACAGAATATCGTATACATAATAAATAAATAAATGAATAAATAAATATTAAAAAAAAAAGAATAAGTGCTCTTAGCCACTGAGGCATTGCTCTCATCTCTTAACATTATTTCTTAGTCATATAATCTAGGTCCTGGATTTGGATGCATGAGCCCAGTTACTTGTGCCAACCAAATTAAATAATGTTTTTTATACAGTTGTATCATTCTAGACATCCAGAAGAAAATGTGTCTCAAGGATCAAGGAAGAATAAAATGTCCCTCTTTCTTCTTTTGGTTTTTTCGCTGTAATTTCCCCCACTTCTTGAGTGAGGATTAGTTCTAAGTCCCTGCTAATGTCCCTGCAAGGCCAATTGTCTTTTTTACATGTTTCTTTAAAAATATCTTCCACAACTCAGTCAGGCGGTGGTGATACATGCCTTCAATCCCAGCATTTGGAAGGTAGATCTCAGTGAGTTCCAGGCCAGCCTACAAAATGAGTTCCTGGACAGCCAGGGCAACAACCACAACCACAACAACAAAACTTTTAAAACTCAAGACATGGTGGCACATACAAGCAACCCTAAACATCTAGTAGAGGCAAGAGGATCTAGAATTCAAAACCAGCTTCAGCTGCTTAACAAGTTCTAGGCTAGCCGAGCTACATGAGACCATCTCTGAGAAAATCATCTGTTCAACAGCTAGGGCAACCAAGGTCAACAGTGGCCCAGAACTTGAGAATTATAAGAAACCTGAGAGACGGAGTCCAGGGAGAGGTCAAGTCCCTCATCCTACAAGAGAGGGGATAAGGAGACTGATGGCATTAGTTGCTCGCGGTCACTGTACACACTGGTCAAGACCAGCTAAAATGCTCGTGGTTAATCAATACCAAGAAGGCTGGGAGGCAGAAATGGACTGCTCTGGGCTCTGTGAGTCCCGGACAGTTAGTGATGAGAATGACATTGGCTTAAGTACAATGGGAACAACATGTGTTCCTGTACACTACAGACATCCACTGTAGTGAAATCCAAACAAGTTTTCAGTGAGTTTATAGAGTTAAACTGGGTTCGTCCATAAACAACTAAATTCCAACACTTGCAGGGAAAATGGGCGAAACTGGGTGTCTTAATAACAAGGGAGAGAAGCCAATTCGGAAGGGTCAAGTATAGGCCGCTTTCTCTCACACCTGAAAGTCAGGTGAAAGAGAGAAGCAGAGGAATGAGGAAGAGGACAGGCTGCAAGGCCAAAGTAGAAGGTGGACCATTTAGAAAAGGGAGGGGTGGCAGGAGGAAGACAAAGGGGGTATGGAATGGATGTGATTCAAAGTACATTACATACTCATATGAAAATATGGAGTCAAAAGCTTAGGACTCCCTCAGTAAGAAACTCATCTACTGAAGCATTAACTCCTGCTTCAAAACTCTAATTCCTTTTCCACTGTTCGGAAGGCTTGGCAAATTGGGCAGTTTCAGTGATTGAGACCTGGCTTCCCTACCACCAGTAACTCTCTGGTAAGGGTTCAATTACAGTCAGGTTGAGCAATGACTGGTTACTGGCCTACTCTCGGGAACTAGACAAGTCCTTGCAGGGTGGCGAAACTGCAGCTGATTCCGAGGCACTGAACCAAGCAGGAGACAGGTCAAAAGGAAAGAGAGGACTTGACAGCGCACGGCCTTGCGTGCCTGTCTCACCATCGTTGCTGAGAGGAGCCAAGTAGGTCTTAAGAGCTCCCCAGCTAGACAGTCTCCTGGGACACTTACTGTGAGCTTCAGGTCCGGTGAGAAAACCTGTCTCCAAAAAATAAAAAAAAAAAAGAAAAGAAAAACCCCAAAAGGTGGAGAATGACACACAACACCTCCTTCAGCTTCTGCAGCACACACACACTTGCACACTCATGTATGCATACAACACACACACAACTAATGTGTGTTGCTCCCTTGCGCTTGGACTTCTTTTTGAACAAGCAGAAACTTTGTCTCTTACATTTACGTCATCAATAATAAGAGGAGATAATAATGGAAATTAGTTTATGACTAAGAGAAACCAGTTAAGTTATATTCTTAGAGATCTGGATTTCTCTTTGATACTACTTTATCCCTAAATCACTCCCCGAGGTGGGCCTTTATTCTCGCTAGAATAAATGAACACCTTGTATAAATTCAAATGCGTTTTTTTTTTTTTTAGACTTGTGGGATGCCTCTGAAACCAGTACTTAGCTTGTACCTCCTTAGTTTCCCATTGAAATCTGACAGCGACTGGGCCTTCTCCAAGAGTCAAGCAGGCTGATTTCCAGGAGAACTTTCACGTGGGTGGTATTTCGAGACAGGCCAACTCCTAATGAGCACCTTGCAAAGAGGTCTGAGTTCCTTCCTCAGTATTTCATGTTGTGTCTAAACGACCTTGTCCATGTATATAGCTGTCCATGTGTGTCCAAGGCGTGGGCGTGAGCGCACACACATACACAAAGTGAAAATGAAAACCAACCTTCCAGAGGGGAATAAAAAAAGAAGAGATCTGTATACCTCCCAGTTCAGTTGGTATTACTTAGTGCATGAAAAGAGTTTATGTAGCTGGGCGTGGTGGTGGTGGTGCATGCATTTAATCCAGTACTTGAGAGGCAGAGACAGGAGGGTCTCTGTGAGTTCAAAGTCAGTCTGGTCTATATAGGGAGTTACAGAACAGCCAGGACCCTGTCTCAAAGAGAAAAAGAAAAAAAGAAAAAAAAGTAAAATAGAGTTTATACTTCAAGGGAATCCAAGAATTCTCTAGTTCAGATGCTGATTCAAGCTTTGATACAGTTTAGAAAGTAGTTTTGGAAA